CTACCAATTGATTTGAAGGTGAGTTACCTTGGAATAAAATTATATAATTTTGCGTTAAACTCAATACCCTTGCTAATTTATATTTCCTCCTGCCCAGAATAAGTGCAATGTGAGGTATGCTTTCATCAACATGGTGTCTCCTACACATATCATCACCTTCCATGAGGTTTGAGTTTCTTTCCTTTGTCCCTTCCTTGCAGTCATTTGTACTAAATATCACTGTAGGATACTAAAATATGTGAGCAACTGATATGAAAGCTCGGAAACATTTTACAATTGTTATGTTCTAATCACCTTCGGAAGCAACGTAATCATGGATTTTGTTTCTTGAAAAATCTGAAAATCTGTTCAGTAACAAATGGATTTGTCTCATGTAAATCTCTGCAAGCATTTAATAGGAAGACATGGAAAAAGTTCAATAGTGAAAAGATTGCTTCCTTGACATATGCGAGAATCCAGGGACAAACTGCTGTTGTTTCACAATTTCAAAATTCAAGTTTAATGAATGAAGCTTTAGGATAAACCAACCATGACTATGGTGGGTACGAAACTTAATACATTTTCATATATCATATAAATTAAATAACCTTTTTTTATAACTAAAATTGTTTTCTCCTACAGGCACTTCCTGCATCTTCTGTCCATCGTGCTTGACATCACCTTAGCGATGCAGTACGTTTGATTGGTTATGATGGAATTATTTGCAACATCCAATTGGAAAGAGTTAATAATAACATATATCTTGCTGGTGGATGGCTACAATTCTATTACCACCATAATTTACAAGATGGCTATGCTATCGTCTTTGAATACAACGGAAATTCCACTTTCGATGTTTCAATATTTGAGGATTCAGGTGTAGAAATAACCTATAAGTCAGAGACATTTAAGGATGAGATTTCACCTAATGGCAATCCTATATTCCGAGTAACATTACAAGCTAATCGAGATGGTCATCGCAAAATTGTAAGCTCTTCTTTAAATTAAATCTTTTCTAAATTATGTGATTATTACCTACCTGCCTTATATGTATGAAAGTACTTCTCCATTTCATTGTCTCGCCTAATGCTAAATTTCGCTATTTATAAATTCTTCAATTTATTTTATAGGATGTGCCTGGGACTTTCGCTCGATTGCATCTACAAAAATGTGTCAGGAATATAAAAATCCATGATCGTTCATACCACAATTGGCCAGTACGAACAAATCTAAGAACTAATAATGACGTATGACGTTTCACCGTAGGCTGGTTAGCCTACGTTACAAAGAAACAACTTCAAATAGGTGACACGTGCATATTCGAACTTGTGAACGATGAAAT